GCTAATCAAGAAGACTTTTATTTTATTTAACCCGAAGTATCGTTACCGTGTTCACAGAACCCAGCAGCCAGAACCTATATTCAGCTAGAGGAATCCAATCTACAACCTCCAAAACTATTTCCCTAAGACCCGCTTTAGTAACATCCAACTACGCCTAGGACATCCGAGTTCTCTTCCTTCAGGCTTCCCAACCAAAATATCTTAAGCATTTAGTGTCACCATCATGCGTGCTACATGCCCCGTTCATAACATCCTCTTTTAATTGCTCATCCTAATAATATTAAAAATTCTATTACCTCCAACGTCCTGTCATAAACATTCTCCTAAGCACCCTGTTCTGAAACACCTTCAGTTTGTGCTCTTCCGTTAACATGAGATACCAAGTTTCGCACCCATAAAAACAACGGGTAAAATTATAGTTTGTTTACGTTTTTAGATAGCGGGTGGTAAGACGAAAGATCGTGAACGGTACCATCTGGACACAGATGCAAGAAACTGTGTAGATATAAAATCCTAAATGACACCATTAAGCCACGACTTTGTATTATACTATCAAGCGAGACATATTTATTTTTTAAAATAAACATCCCATACGATGGCTTCTAATAGAAATTAATGTCCATGGAATAACTGAACTCAATAAATGAAAGGCCACACACAATTCAAATTATTGACTTGGGCAAAATACAACAAAGTAAGAGTAGTATAACTGTCAAATATACGTAATTTATTTTATTGATCCCGGAAAGAGATATGTGAACTGAACTGTAGAAATGCACCAATATATTACCATACTGGACACGTAGTGAAAATGTTTGGTAATAACGATACTTCAAGCCTTTGCCAGAGTTCCAGTTATATTCAGTTAATATGACTACACAATAGCACAGCTCTTCGAATCGCGCGGCCATATACCCCGATTATCTGTGTGGTATCTAATAGGAAGAAATTTACAGACCTAATAAAACAAAGTTTCAAGAAATTCCTACTCCATAAAATCACGTTTCCCAACATCAAATTCCCAAACACGAACAATGGTGTGTTGCAATCTTATAATTACGCCAATATGATTACTAGCATTAACATATCGTTCAAATTCAATGGCTTATGATTCCCATCTCCTTCCTTCACCCTCTTTTATCACTTACCTTTATACCGTCCCATCCATATTTCCATATTGCTTTTTATAATCCTTCCACGTGGCTGTCCTATCGTAACCCCTCTCCCCTCATTTTAAAACACCTTTTAGGGAAAAAAGGAAGAAAGCAAACCGTGTTACATTATTTGGACATTTTCCAGCAATATTGACTTCCATTTTGAAAAAAAAAGGCACACGCTAATACAAAACTGACACACACAATTTTTATTTTTCTGGCGTTCTTGTGTAAAATAAATGTTCAAGATACCAATCAAAAATGCTAGGAACAGTCACGTGGTATGCATACCAAAAGCTAACACAGCTGGGTTATCAAGTTTATTAGCTTTTGTACAAGTCAAAAATCCCTTTGCAACCAACTTGATAATGTGTTGAGAAGAAATACGCGCCTTAACATGAAGTAACACATCGGCTTAAAATGTTTTCATTTAAACGTTTTTCTAAAAATATACCTATTAGCTTCGTCATGTCCGTCCATCTTTCTAAAATACCAATACATTATGGTAACAACGTAGAAGCCCTACAGAAACGTTTGTCGACCCATTATGAGTTTGGTTTGCTGTGAATTATTTGAAGGGAAAATTCACTTAGGGCTTCGAATTTATACTTTTATATATACGTAAGTTATTTGACAGCTTTTTATTAAATTTCAGTTATCATACAAATATTACCATGTGTAACTTTAATTAATTTTTATTAATGTTATATTCTGCATACGTCATACAGACCTCGGTACATACGTCCCTGTGGTACAGACCTGCTAAATAACAAGACCCCCTATTTCAGTCATTATTTTAATGACCTGATCAATATTTCTAGTGGACGTAATACATCAATACACAACTTCTAAAACTTTATAAGGTTTTGGTTCTTTTGTGTAACGTTAAGTAATTCGGCACATCGCCCATATGGGTTCTATATGGCCCACAGAAGAGAAAAAAATTGTTCTCAACATCATTAAAATACTGAACTTAGTTAACATAATGCGTTGCGTTTTGTTTGAGGTAGGAACCGAATTATAAAATGTCATTTAAATACTATTTTCCCGAATTTGGCCTTTAAAGTGTAGTTGCGACGTACAGCAGCATAGGCCTATTTGCTAGTCTTGTCGTCTTCTTTGCATTCCAAAAGACTACAACCAAGATACGTGCGTTTCCTGAGTATTAAACAGATATAATTTAAATGGCGTGTTAACTTCATCGTAAGGCCTCGTCAAGTGGTATTTGAACAGTAACCCCCCCCCCCCCCCCACACACACACACACACGAACATGTGCCACAATCGCTTCCTCCCAAATCCTTACCGACTAATCATTCATAATCATTTTGCTGTTATTTTATTCCACGTTACGTAAATTTGCAGTGACGCAATCATAAAATAACTTAACGCGAACAACCACTTTCAAACAATTTCGAATAGGGCAAAGAACATATGCAGAAAGCATATCTCCATCCGCCACGTACTCCTTGCAAAAGCATAGTATTTTAATATGACATTCAGAGAATCTTATTAGTTAGTCTTGAGTAACACCCACAGTACAACTTCGCACAAAGCTTTCTGCAGCAAAAAGAAATCTATTTTTTACATAAAAGAATAAAATGTGGCTTTGGGCTACTCCTTTTCAGCTTTCCTACGAGAAACCGTTCGTTACAAAATGAACAAAGGAGAAGCTAATGAAAGAGGAAAACGTGAAAGAAAAATAAGTCAGCGTTCTTAATTAAGAAAACCTATGAGAATACGCTCCAAATTCAACTATTTCCTGGCGTAACATTAGACTTTGCTACTTTACCATCCGACGTAATTGTATGCCGCAGGCTACAATTTCATACCAAACCACCTCAGCTAGGAACAAGATTAAAACGAAGAAGTTCAATTCATAATTTCCACTGATAAAACTACGTAGCCTACAGTTGGAATGTACGAAAGGAACAAAGACAATGTGGTTTAACGTTTTGGTACTACGTCAAACTTTACATTTCCGATTACGTAGAAACGGCCGATTAAGCACAATCCTGAATGGTTTGTGATAATGCGCACGTCTTACCTCAAAATACCTCCCGAAAAACTAGATTTATATTCCTACACATGCAAGTCTATAAGGCACCATCAAAATACAGGATGATTCAAAAGGTTAGGGCCAAACTGAAGGAGGGTATAGAAGGACTCAGAGAGAACAACTTTCGAATAGGAATCCATGTCCTCCGAAGTTATGCTGAGTCAGTCGAGGCCATTGAAGGTAGAGAAGTCTGATAACATACCGCTGAAATAATCGTCCTTTGCTATTCTCCTACTAGTTTCATTTTGTTTTTTTATTAATGTACAAGGATTACATTAGCAATCTTACAAACCAAAGTACGTTTATTTCAGCGGTATGTTATCAGATTTCCCCACCTTCAATGGCCTCGACTGACTCAGCATAACTTCGGAGGACATGGATTCCTATTCGAAAGTAGTTCTCTCTCAGTCCTTCTATACCCTCCTTCAGTTTGGCCCTAACCTTTTGAATCAGCCTGTATAGTAATTTATTTAAATAAGTGCGGGATATTTTATTCTGTTTCCACAATAACAAAATGTATGAAGATGAATGGCTTAGAGTATTACCAGGTATAGACTTTGATTACATTTTGTAAAATTTGCACTTAAGATATACAATGAAAGTTTTGGCATGGGAGACAACCACATCCTCCGGTCAAATCAGAACCCTGGTTATGAGGACAGAGATGGTCCCTGAAACGTCGGTTTCATCTTTTAACCATCTGACGAGGCTGATCACCCGAGAAAATTTTATTGAGACTAAACGTGTCTTATACGCGGACCAATAGTATTTCATAATCAGGTAGGCTTATGCAAGAACTGCAAAGGACCTTACGCGACAGCTCGATAATACACTACAGTAGATTCCCGTAAATTGGGCTATCGCTTAATTGGGCCAAAGTGTTCTAGTCCCGATGTGTCAACCGGAATCCACTGTATATACAACAATGGCCTTAACATAATTTCTTCCATGGATGAGACGTGGTATAATTAATCTTCCACAGCTGTAGAAAATTCCGGACTTACGTATAAGCTAAATGTCAGAAACTGAGGATCTTATATTATGACAGACCTGAATGAAATAACATATTTTAACGTTATTATATTAAAGTCCTTAACTGTTCTTTAAATAAATTACACAACTTAAAAAGTACCCATGTTAGTTCGTATTGCTAGTTTAATAATCCGCTTTTCACTACACCTCGTCAGTAATCATAGCAACAAGATATTTTAAAACACCAATATTTCTTTTTGTACCTACGTCCAAAGATTAAGAAATTTCATCGCCCCAGAACATCTAAATCTGACCCTGGCAGTAAAATGTATCGTTGAGAACAAAACCAATATAAGTGACCACACAATATATGAAGGGTTTGTAAAATTAAACTGCCCAATTTCTAAGTGGGTGTGGTTACAGATCAAAGGGTTCCCCAGGGAACGACATCACAAGGGGGACAGGTGTATTGGAGCACAGGGATAAAATCGATACTGGACACAATTTACACCTTTCCCAAGCCATAACAGGCTGGTAACTGAAATCATGTTGCGAAATACAAGTTGCGATCCATTGCCCGTCGGGACCCCCAACGCCCCACCGCTTGAGTGAGAGACATCATCACTTGTCCCGTAATACCAGCTCCATGAAGAAGTAGCAAACAAAAACGCACACCTTATGTTTGTAATTTACATCACAGACGAGTGGTTCATTCATTACCCCTCGAGGTGTAATCTGGCATATTTCATGTTACTCAGAGTAAAACGGAAAATAGACAAAACGATAACGCAAAGTGAGGCGAGAAGTTCTACTTACCAGGAGCTAGATCCCCCGCAGCCAATCAGTGCACTTTCCCTCCACCTGAAATGCAATACGCAGATAATTCAATCGCCTCATAGTCCAGCAAGGTCAGCCCACTACCACGACTCTTGCAGACACTGGGCAGTAGGCACTCTGCTTTTATATGGGTTTACAATAGGGTACATGCTTTACGAATCAACGGTATCAAACCATCTGAGTGGACAGACATGGACGTACGAGTAGAGTGGCGGGGAGTTATGTAGAAATTATACCACAGTACAAGCTGGTCAGTTTCTATGTCTTCAATATATTTAACCCTTTACAACCGAAAATAACCTGAAAAGTATTTCAGTCTGTACTGCATCATGACAAAGGTCAAATGGTCAATGTTGTTTAAAGAAATATCCGATGTTTACAATAAGAATCAAGCGAAACACATAAATACCAAATGAAGTTACTGACTGTTGAAGCAGGTCGGCCTTAAACGTTTAAAAGACACTACGTTTCGGGATTTTGTTGCAATTCCATCTTCAGGCGATTGGTTATTTTAATATTTCATCCCCTTCACCAGATAACATTATTAATGGTCGGAATTGAACCCGAAACTCTGATAAAACTGTATAGCCGAAGAAAACAACTAGGGCGTGCAAGTATAGCATTCACACGAATCTTGGTTCGATTCTCAGGGTTGCCAATATCTCGAAAATAAATAACAAGAGCATTACATATTTTTAAAGCAAAAAACTATTGGGATTCAAGAATCGTAGTATGACTGGCAAAACTGCTGAGGTCTGGTCATACTGTAGATTTAAGTCAAACAATGACACGCTGAGTGTGGTTTACTTGTGCACCATTTGCGCCGTATGCCTGGCATAAAGTGTTTGCACCAAAGAAAAGCAACATTAACGGCCCGATCTTGCAACAGTTACCGCAATAAGTACCTTACAGTTTCCAGCAACCACTGCTTAATCACGCTCCACACTTTGGTTAATTTTTCTTTCGGTAGGGGATGGTCCTGCTTACCTGTTGCATAAACACCATTGGTTCGGCTGCTTTTAAACATTTCGATCTTCTCGTACACGCTTCACTGAGGCGAACACTGCTTATTCCTTCCTACACCAAAAGAAGCAACGTGGCCTTTTACAAATCTCTAATAGAACAGACATCTTTACACCAGACTCACGCGGCACAAACAGACAACTGAAGCGCTCTGACAACATGTCACCGTCTGACCTTGAGCTACTGCACGGCCATGCCTGAGCAGAGTGGCCAATCGTACAGCGAAAATATTCCAATATTGCCCTGACTTTTTTAATCTCCTTCGCAAATCTGTATCATCACAACTATTCACTTCAATACGTGAGTGTAACCAGTTTCTGAAACATCGTGAATATCAAATACAATTCACTGTAAAATAACGGACAGTCTCTTACATAAGTTTGAATTATTCATTGTCACAAATGTTAAGAGAATCAATGAGTCACATATATGATTGTATTACGCATGTATAAATACACCTTCTACCTCGCAGTGTAATGAAATTACACGGAAACAACAAACGCCAAACGAAAAGTAGGCTTATATTAAATAAACTGGTGGTTTTCATTTTTTATTACAACTAAATTTCATTCATTTAATTGTTTATTCCCACACCAACTAATCTTCATTTTGTTTATTTCATTTTAGTATGAGCCAATTGTACTTACAACTACATTTCAGACGTAGCTAATATTTTTAAACTATAGAGTACATAATTTTCAGTAACTGAGAAATCTTATACAGGTTTATGAAAGAATTCCTTTTTAGACATGATAGGTCCATGAATATGAGTGATATTTTATGGCAGAAATTTGTTCATTCTGGTAACGATCACATCATATACACGGAATTGGATACGAATAAATGTTTCATTGAAACCGTCTAGTCAGATTCGAATCGCTGAACTTGCTACCAACCTTTGCGAAAAGCAACGACTGATTACGTTGGACGAGAGATGGGGTATCAGGTGGGTCAAATGCAGTCCATCTTTGCACTACTCGGTATAAAAACACAAGATTAATTTATGTTTATGCAGTCTGAGGTTATCACGGCGGTGAAGATGTTTTCGTCGGTCTGCTGAGTATTAACGTCATCCTCAGCTCTGAAGATGTAGGCAATATGTTCCGATGAAACGTTTATATCTACCTACCAGTCCATTAAGCATTACTACACAGAAGACCAATTCAGGCTCTTGTTTAAATTTCAAATGTTGGCCAATTTTTGAATCAGTATAAGCAAAATAGGTGAATATAGCAGATACTAAATTTATTAAATTGAATCATATTTCGACACATTAATAGCGGACAGCGGGCGCTTGGCTAACTCCTCTTGTCAATCGTTACATCGCTCTATTAGTGACTGACATACACTTAGAAGCCAGGTATTAATAATCTCCAAGTCAGACTCAAACACCCCTCATAATTCATAATTCAAACTGGTCCTTGTGTAATCACCCGTACATATGTGTCAATGTCACATCTCTGTTCAAAGCCACAGATGCAGCCTAATCAAATTTCCTCAAACATCCACTGTGTGATTCCGATATGATCACATTGTCTGAAAAAGTATATTGAGTCCGGTTAGTCATTAACGGACAGAAAAGAAGCCAAGAGTTTGTGTTAATGTTTAAGCCTTAATTCCGTTATTGTATTAATATCTTTGCATTAGTATATATTTGTTTCTAGCCTTAACAAAAAACAAACAAACAAACTAGTAGACAGAGGGAATTTAAGAACAAGGTCCCCAGAAGAATATTTTAGCCGAAGACGGAGAAAGTTACAATGGAGGCTGAAGAAAATGATACAACGAAAAAAACTTCACAATTTGTACTCCGCATCAAAAGTTGTAGGATGATGCGTGAGACAGAAGAGAAAAATACAAACACAATTCTGCCGGAAACAACTGAAGGGGGGAACCACCTGGGAGACCTAGGCGGAAATGATAATATTAAAATGAATCTTATCAAAATAAGATATGAGGCTGTGAGCTTAACTCATCGGGCCCGTGAAAAAGTCCAGTGACCAGTTCTTTTAAGCACCGTAATGGACCGTAAAGTTTCCATAAAACGCAGACACTTTCTTGAGTAGCAAAGCGACTACTAGCTTTGACAAAGGTCTCTGCATAATCGGCTTAACATAAAACACACAATAATAGAACGTCATTTAAACACAAACAGAGAAAAGTTGATATTTTGCAAGTATCAAGCATCGTGAGAGTCAAGAGGCAATGTTCCTGCCAGCGAAATCAATGGTAATTAGGACAATGTTGAATAATCATTTTTCGATTTATTCTACGAGTACGAGAGAAATACAGAAGCAATGAGCTTCTGTTGATGGTTTGACGACAGATCTGACGATGAAACAGTATAAAGTATCTGTACAACAAACTACATATTATTTTACAGGATTATAATGGATGGTTAATGTGTAGGACTGCCAGATATTATTTCGGGGAGCTGTATTATATTTGCTGTCAGTATGGTGAAAGTGAAGCATGTCGCGTTCAATTTGTTCGGACATTGTCAGTCGACTCGTCTAGTAGTCAGTCACACAACGTTTATGTAACTGCGAGCCGTAGTCAACCGAACCAGAAACGCGACCCGTGCATAATGAATGATGTTTCTGGCGTCCCACCGTCGTGTTGTTGCTGGGTTTTCGAAATTCCATCATAAAAGAGAATTCGTCCAAACAGCATGAATGGCAAAACACAACTGAGAACCTGTGATACGTAGGATTATTTGCACTGCAGTTAACGAAGACGATCTGTTTCTTACGCTCGTACAGACGGTTCTGTCAAACCTGTTCACCACAAATAAGGTATCTAGTAAGTAGTACAATCTGGCGAAAATCATCAAGTAATTATATTATTACAAACTGCTGAAATATTCCAATATTTTAAAACAACCGAATAAATTTATTCGTTTTAGAAAATCGGTCGAATCTTCACTGCATTCATCTTTAAGACTGGAAGGACACATCGTATTCTTCCGGTATAATTCGGTCGCTATCAGTTCCGTGACATTTCGTGGTGGAAGTTAAATGCAGAACCTTGAAGTGACGTAAAAGGTCGACCTCCTTTTCAAACTGCCTAATGGATTCAAGGATGCATTTTTTACAATGTTTTCTCGAACGAGTTACGTAATAACACACTAGCTTCTAATAAGAGTCCATCTGATTCATACGACAGTTTAAAAATACCTTGGAATTATGCCTTATAACATTTATCAATGCACAGGAATAAAATAAAAAATAAATAATTAACCCTATATGCAACCTGCAACAATAGTAAAATAAGTAATAATGATTTTTGGGGGGAATGCTGTAGAAAAGTGCACAATGAAGTGTTTCAGAATTTGTAGGCCTACTTTTCACCAAAGATTATTATAATGATCAAATTAAGGTCGATCAGTTGGGAGGGGAATATATCACGCCTGAGTTCAGAAAAGCGTATGGAATTTTAGTCAGAAAATCTTAAGGGGACAGATAACTTGTGAGACCCGGATTTTAATAATATAATAGTGTGGACAGGATTAATCTGGCTCAGGACAGAGACCGATGACGAGATCTAGTGAACATGGTAACTTACTTTAAATTTCCATAAACGCTTCCAGAACGACTTTGCTCCATGGAGTTAATTCGATAAATCCATTTTATATTTCATCAACGCAGGGTGAAATATTAAAATCAACGAACCTACACTAAACATGAGATTATTCTTGTCTTCCATAGAACCGGTACTAATTATACAATTATTAGAATTTTACACTGAATCAGGGGAGTCGTTGGTTTGCAAGACGAAGCATGGCACTACAGGTATATTACGCTATTGTCAAGTTATCTGTGTAAATGTCTGTGTGTGGGTTGGGTATGGTAAAGAGAGGACACGAGCAGTAAATTGTCGGAATTCATATCTTACTTCCTTGCGCTATAAATTTTGGGAACAATTGCGCAGTCTGCATATGACACGAGGCTCCGTACCAACACTCGACTGTTGTTATTTGCGTCTCTGCTTCTTCTCGCTTTGCCGTATGATTCATTGGACTCTCTCGCCTTCCTGTTCTTTGTTTGTGATGTCTGTTATTTGCAAGTGCAAATTTCAATAGAACCACGTGACTAAAATTTCACCTCGTCACTGTCAACATACTAGGGTATTCGTGTTTTAAATAGAAATATATATTAAACTGTTTTGTGTGGGACAGTTGTGTAACTGTATGGGATTAACATATATAGGTTCAATTTGACCGAAGATAAATAATACAAGAAACGAAAGAGGTCTCAAAAAACGAGATGTGAACTTCGGCTGAAATAGAATAGGCCAGTTCCACATATTTTAACTTTTGAGGTAACCAGCTTAATGTGCCTAGCTGAGATACTAACCCCTTATTTTAACTTCACATCATTTAGGTGGTCAATGTGTTTACTCTTCACCTGTATATGGTCGATCGAAATAATGTTTTATTTTCTGTTTCAATTACCTGGCCGAACGCAACGGTCGAGTAGTTAAAAAATGTTTTACATTCGGAAGGGACCGATTTCAAATCTCCAACTAAAGATCGGTTATCATGACTGATATTTTCGTAGTTTTCTCAGACCTTCCAGGCAAATGACGTGAGAATACCTTAAATCAGGCCAAAACAGCTTTCTTCTACATGTTTTATTATACACAGACCTGTTAATTAATCATTATATCATTCCACGACATATTCAGAGTGAATCAAAATCATAGGGCCTATCCTGAAATAAAGAAATTATAACTGCAATATGACTAACGCTACGGACATGATACAAATCACAACATATTGATGTAAATGTCAAGCCTGTTTTTACAATTTGTAACTTCTCAATACCTGAAGCTTCGTTCATTTCAAAGTTACAATTTCATTACATCGAGACTTAATTATGACTCGCCCTGTTTCCAAGTTACGAAAACTACATTCAAGAACCCGGGACAGATTTTCGGAGTTTTAGCCTTTGTTTCTGTAGTCTACTCGCCGAAATAAGCAACTTCATCTTTGCGGCCGTTTTTGTACTGTGCTTAGTTTCCGAGTATATAACATTCACCGGGACTAAAACACGGGACCGATTTTTCGGGGTTCTGGCCTTCGTTTCTGTAACCTCCTCTTGACGTCAAGCAACTTTGGTTTTGTCGCAGTTCATTTATCGTGATTAGTTTCCGAGCTACAAAAACACATGGCTTTTTCAGGAGTTTTATTTAACCTTCCTCTTATTCTCTTGTTGGTCTCAAGGAATAAGCATCTAA